GGATAAACTGTTCGTTTCTGACTGCTTCCACACCCATGTAGATGTCTCTAGACCAAACCACCGCTCTCTAGAAGTCTGCGGAATCATCTCACGACACGACACGTGGCCTACGTACTTCTCTTTCTTTTTTTTCTTCTTTAATTTAATTTTATAAAGAATAAACTAACGAAAATACTCCTTAAAATAATTTAAAATATATTCTTAAACTAAAAATAATTCAAAAATACATTTATCCCCTTTAATATTTTATTTAAAAAATTACTCTTAAATTTTTAAATGAGTTTCAAAAATATTCGTTAATGTTAAATAAAATTTGAGATAATCTATAACATAATGATATATGACTTTCGTCAATATATTGACGAAAAAAAATTATTAACTCTTTTCAAAAATAATGTTAAAAAGGTGTTAATACTCCGAATTTTTTTTTATAAATGTTTGAAACATTTTAAAAAATGTATAACAACACATTCTCACCGCTAGTAGATATTGTCAAATCCTTTATCTCTCAGGCTTTTAAGGCTTTAAAATGTGTCTAATAGGGGAAGGTTTCCACCCCGATCATTTGTTCTCCTCCCTAACCGACATCACAAAATGGAAGGATATTAATGAAACTATTTAAAATTGAAGAGTATTTAAAAGTAATTATAAGAGTTTTAATATCAACATAATATTTAAAGAATAACTAGCAATTTTTTTTTATTATTATCTTAGCTATTTCTTATAAATTTTATTATTAACTCACTAATATTTACGTAATTATTTTAAGTCATTAAATTAAATTACTCAATCTTTAATATTATTTTTTATTATTGTTTTTTTTATATTAATTTTGATTAATCTTTAATATATATATATATATATATATATATATATATATTTGTTTTTTTTAATAAAGATTAAAATTATTGTTAATTATTTAATTATTTTTATTCAACCCGTAAAAAAAAAAACAATTACCATTTTCACTTATTAATTCTACTCTTTAAAAAAATTTAAATATTGAAATTAATGTCAATATTGGTTATTTAAATACTTTTAATATCGTAGTTTATTAATTAATTTCATTAGAGTTCGACGACTTGTTCGATCTAATTTAAATTAAAAACTCAAATCATTTATTCAATAGATTGGATATAGATCATCTTTTTGAAGACGGTCCATGAACAAACTCATTTAAAGAATATTTGAATCGGTTCAAACTCGATGAGCTACATTGTATATTTTGCTGACCCAATTTAAGCTCAAAAAAGTGTTACCTTTCATTTATATTATTAATTTAAAAGAACAATTCTATACTTTTTTATTTTTAAAAATAATATTATTTTTCGATGGTATTATCAAATTTAAAATATTAAGTTACCAATATGTTATTAAAGAACCAAAAAGTGTGTTTTATTTTTTATTTTTATTAAAAAAAATAATATTATTTCAATAGGAAAAGTTGCAGATTATTTGAGGAGTAGAAAAAACGGGAGAGATTTTGCAGACCAAATAGATTAAAACTTACGGTAAGTTTCGTAGTTGACTCAGAGTCAACAGTCAACTAGTCAACCCTCAGGTAAAATATTTATTTTTTAAAAAAATATATTAATAAAAATTTGAAAAATAACAAATAATTTTTAAACAAAATACTCATTCGTTTAACCATTAATGATAATATATTAATAAAATTCTTAACAAATTTTTAATTTATGGATATTTTTTAATTAAAAAAAACATTTATTAAAAAGCTCCTCACGTTAATGAAACGGTCGGCAGAGACTTTTCAAAACAGATATGTTTGGTGTGTAATCAATACTGACGATTGACTTACGGTCAACGATAAGGTCTTCTTTGTTATTTCTTATTATTATTTTTTTTATTTATGAAATTTCTCCATAACTTTTAATCACATATAAATACTAGCTGAGAAGTAGAATTGGGATAAAGGTGCATATTCTATATTTATAACATTTAAATAGGATACATAGGATACAAGCTACCAACTAACATCTATAAATTAATTAAATATTGAGAATAAAATAAAATATACTATAAATCAAATCGAAAAAAATATTAATATATATTCCATAACTAATATATTCTCCAAATATTATATCTCAACCTCACATGTGATAAAAATATTTTACGATGATTAAATTGTTACATGATTAAATTATTATATACTAAACAATATAAATATTAGATTGTTAGGAAATAAAATTTAACTATTAAATTAATAGGCAAAATGTTTTTTTTGTAACCATAGCTCATTCTTATTTTGACCCACTTGGACGACTAGCTCGTGAAGAATGGCTATTTCAGACAATAGCTTACTAAGGCAATGATTAATAGCTGTCATAGAGTATGTTCAGACACATTGGGAGTGAGACACGACTCAGACTCCTACAAACGGTCCATTAGATGGATGGTGCAAAGGCCAGGAATTTAAAACACATTGATTCCACTCATTCCCGTCTTTTGCTTCACGGCTTACTGCTCGGTGTGATTAATACTCCGTGTTCAGACTCGATCTAAATAAAAAGAAATAAAAATTTATGAAATTTCTAGGAAATGAGTTTGAGAAGACAATTCTTCTATCTTCCTTTATTTAAAGCAACGAAGCTCAGCACCTCACCCTCACAAGCAACAATTATGGCTTCCAATAACTTAATATTCTTCTTCCTCTCTCTCCTCCTCCTACAGGCGGTTTCCGCCGTTGATTACACAGTCACCAGCAACGCCGGTGGCACTCCCGGCGGCGACCGCTTCGACACCCAAATTGGAGCGGATTACTGCCGTCAAACACTGATAGAAGCCAGTGGTTTTATCTGGAGCATTTTCCGTCAAAACACCGACGCCGACCGGAAAAATGTGCGGAGTGTCAGCCTGTTGATCGACCGAGATTACGACGGAGTGGCGTTTGCTAGCGACAACCGAATTCACATTAGTGCTAATTACATCGCCCGCATCACCGGGGACGTGAAGAGGGAGGTAACAGGTATAAAACTACGGTTAATTGAACTCAGATCGAGCACGAAAATTCATTTGTTAAGAATAAGAAAAAAAAATGAGATCAAAATTTCAACTTTTATTAATTTTTACCATATTTAAAATCTTAAAAATAATATAAAATATACTAATAATCGAGAAAAAAAAAATTATATATAATATATTTCGTAATTAACTTTATATCTTAAATCAAATTTCTTGTTATTATTACAGGAGTGTTGTATCATGAAATGGTACATGTCTGGCAATGGGATGGAAACCGGGCGGCGCCCGGGTGGCTGATTGAAGGGTTTGCCGATTACATACGACTGAAGGCGGGGTACATTCCGGGGCACTGGGTTCAGCCCGGAGGCGGGAGAAGTTGGGAGGAAGGGTACGACAAGACCGCGAGATTTCTGGACTATTTGGAGACGCGGCGGAGCGGGTTCGTGTCGGAGCTGAATCGGATGCTCAGAAATGGGTACTCTCCGGATTACTTTGTGCAGTTGCAGGGGAAGCCAGTGGCTCAGCTGTGGGCGGAGTACAAGGCGGCGTTTGGGAATTGAAGGATGTGGTGGTTGAGTATTAGAAATAAAGGGAAAGTTTTTAAATTGGAGTAAAAATAAATGGGTTTGTTGCCCTTGTGTGCTTTTAAATTAAGGTAGTTTGTGTAATTTTTATTCGTAAAATGATAACGACTCTAAATTTTTACTTATTCATAGTCACTACTAACGTCTCATGTTTTGCTAAAATACGAAATTTAACTCTTACTTAGAGTTGCTACTAATGTCTCATGTTAGGCTAACCTAAGACTAGAAATCTAAATATGCATCTATCCTAAGCACGTGTCGTGGTCTCTACTTGTGATGTCGTCGTCATCTATACATGGGCATCTTGCCTTTACCTGAATAATGACGTGGCACACAGCTTGAGTATTTCGAAGAATACTCCGTAAGTGACCCCACTACAGGGGTCATGCTAAATGCAATCACATGCAATCATGCTCTAGGGACCTATCTCTATCTCTATCTCATCTCATACTAGCGGTGGCCTCCAGTTTCGGACTATTATGGATGTGTAGTACTTTCCTACCCACGATCCACATGTGCAAGTGTGAATCTCCAGGAGGCTCGCACACCCCCTGGACCCTCTCTGTCAAGCTAGTTGTCTGTTGCGACGTCCAGAGGTTAGCAGAATCCCTGGTGTCAAGCTCCCCATGATCATCATGCTCATTATACTGTGAGCGTCCGCACTCGTCATCTCTAGGAGAAGTATCCATATGCTTATGTACATACAACATGTATGATGTCCCTCTAATTCCCATCTTAACATCTCTGTCTAACACAACTTTCTAGTCTTATCTCTTTGTTACATTAAGCAATACATAGTCGTCGAATATTTATATTAATATCATTTTCATGCTCTTAGGGTTGTGTCCTAGATCGATCTATCGACATGATGCAATATGACACTCATCATCATATAACATGCTTAATATGGAAAACATCAACATATTAAGATAAAAGTCATGCAATCATCATACTCATCATAACGCCATTAAGTGCATCAAACATATCATGTACATCATACATCAAAATATATAAATTATGTACATTATCATGCATCACAGCTCAAACATCATAACTCATACATCATCATAGCTCATACATCGTAAATATAACTATAACACATACAATTTCTAGCCTATCTTATAGTTAGACCACTTACTTGGTTGACCTTGATCGAAGTATTCCCCAATTTTCCTACTTGTCGAGTATGTTAAGCTCACGACGCCGTTGAAAAAGTATATATTATTATTATTTGATATAAGTTTTGAAGAAAGAAAATGTTCAAACGTGCTTGAAAAAGTCAACATGTTCAAAGGTGCTTGAAAAGGTCAACATCTTTTTTTTTTCTTACATAAGCTCCGGCAACACAATCAAAACAAATAAAACTTAAAATTTAAAATATTGAAGAAAATTACAAAGACGTGCAAAGAATATTTAATTTTAATTAGTCATTTGTAATTAATATTTAATTATTTTGCCGTACTCCGCCTTGTACTCCGCCCAAAGCTCGTCGGCCGTCGCGGCCATCAGCTCCACAAAGTAATCTTCGCTGTAACCATTTCTCATTTTCCGGTTAAGCTCCGCCACGAACCCACTCCCCAACCCCTCCAAATACTCCAGAAACCTCGCCGTCACCCCTCCGCCGCCATCATCCCACCTCTCACCATCTCCCGCCGCCGCCCACTCTCCTGGGACAAACCCGGATTTCAGCCTCACGAATTCCGCCACCCCTTCGATTAGCCCGGCCGGCGCTTCACCGTTTCCAGTCCACTGCCAAACTTTAGTCAGCTCCTGGTATAAAATTCCTGCGAATTCGTTCCTCAGGTCGCCGGGATATTCAGCGATGTAGTTTGCGGCGATGAATATGTCGGTGCCGGAAGTGTAGGAAACGATGTCGTATTCGGCGTCGATGACGAGGCGGATTTTGTGGACGGTCTTTATGTCGGCGTCGGCGTCGTCTTGCTGTTGGAATGTTTTCAATATGAAATCGGTGGCAATTTTTAGAGTGTTCTCTGCGTTGGAATTTCCGATTTCGAGGTCGAAACGAGTGCCGCCGGCGGTGTTTCCGGCGGCGTTGGTGACGGAGAACTCGACGGAGTTTGTGGGTTTTATGGAGGATAGAGTTATAAGGAAAGCTAGGAAGATTAGATTGGGGGAAGCCATGGAATTTGGTTTATGAATGATTTTCTCTTCGGAGAAGACTATGTTGTTTATATGGGGAAACCTGCGACGGGCAAATTGGTCATTGGACAAATGGTCGATTTTAAATGATTAGATTTATTTGAGCTAGCTAACCCTTTCTCGTGATCCTGACTCACTAAGTCTATAACTATTCAGACCCACCGTTAGCAAATGTTGTTTCCTTCTCACCCAATGTGAGATATCACAATCTACTCCATTCAGGGCCCTGCGTCCTCGCTGACACTCATTTATTTCTCTAATCGATGTGGGACCAGCATCAAATACACCTCATTCGGTGCCCAGCGTCCTTACTAGCATATCGCCTCATGTCTACCCCCTTTCGGGAACAACTTCCTCGCTGGCACGGTCCCACCAAATACACCCCATTCGGTGCCTAGCGTCCTTACTGCACATCGCCTCATGTCTACCCCTTTTCGGGAACAACTTCCTCACTGACACATTACCCAGTGTCTAACTCTGATACCATTTGTAACGGCCCCGGCCCACTGCTAACAGATATCGTCCTCTTTGGGTTTTCCCTTTCGAGTTTCTCCTCAAGGATTTAAAACGTGTCTGCTAGGGAAAGGTTTCCACACCCTTATAAATGGTGTTTCGTTCTCCTCCCCAACCAATGTGAGATATCAAAAGGTCGGCCTAGTAACTATATTATTTGATAGTGGCTTTGAAAAATACACTCTTTTTAATGATCGTACGTTGTGGGGACGACTTGAGGTTGCTAGATGGCCTCTACTGATGATCTTACCTCGAGAAGAAAGGTCCATACATGTGTTTTATTGGTTGAAAGATGATAGATCAGAGTGGCACATATCCTATCGAGTCTACGAGGCTCTACAAACTACCAACTCGATGCACTGAGTGTTAAGTTCGGGCCAGATCAAGCTACTAGCAATAGCTACCAAAGAGCCAATAAAACGACTCATATTTGGCTGTGGGTGAATAATAATCAATAATAAAATAAATTGATATGAATGAAAAACAAATCCGTTGTAGTCTAGTTGGTCAGGATATTCGGCTCTCACCCGAAAGACCCGGGTTCAAGTCCCGGCAACGGAAGTTCTTTTTATTTTTCAAATTTAATTTTGTTGCCTCTTCTTTTCTTTTATTTATTTTTCAAATTTCATTTTGTTGGTTTTCTTCTCTCCTATTTATTTTCAATTTTGATTTTGTTGGCTTTTCTTTTCTCCAATTTATTTTTAAATTTGATTTTGGTGGTTTTTTTTTATTTCCATTTTTGATTTGTTGGGTTTCTTTTAATTTTTATTTTTTTTAATTATCAAATATTATTTATTTTTATTTTCTTCCTAAAAAAAAATAACGATCGGTTTAAAGGTAAATTTTCGCATTGATATGTTTTGAAAATTGTTTTCAAATTCTATGATAGGAATATTACAAATATTAAAAATAATATTTTCTATATTTAAATATATTATTCGACTAAAATCCTCTCACAATCCCTATAAGACCCTTTGTTGAACCAAAATGCATCCCACATTGTATCTATCCGAGAATTATCTTCCATAAGTCTTAACCTTGTATTTGAGTCATAGTAAGAAATACTCGGTAGGTTCATTTCCATGTCATTCTCTTTAAATTTTATTAAATTTGACTCTTTAATTTTTTTTTTATTAAATTTTAATTTAAACGACAAAGTAATTATTTAGAAAATATGACGCTGATAATTAAAATATTTATACAAATTTGATTTTTTTTTTTATTGAAGATGGAAAATTCAAATATTAATTACTTTTAAAAAATTATTCTTTTAATGAGTATCGGTTGGTTTTGGGCATTTCCTACTATAAGTTTTTTTCAACGTTCAAAGATATATATAAAAATATTGTAGCCATTTTATTTTATTTTATTATATAAATGAGATGAGCGGAAAAGACAATGAAAAAAAGCAAACAAATAGGACAAAAAGGTACCTTACAAGAACTAAAATTAAAAATCAAATTACCGCTAAGCTATGCTCCTATTGACTTTAGTGCTATAATTTTCAAAAATTATAAATATTTTGTATTAATATTTGTGATTTAAAAATTAAATTGATTTTTTTTTTTAATAATTTTAAAGAAGTCATTTGATATGAGAAGAATTTTATTTTATAAAATTAAACTTGTTTATTAATATTATAAAAAAAAATATATTTTTGACTAATTCTTTTCCAAGAGTTTGATTTCCATATCTAATATTTAAAGACATTTTATTAAAAAATTTGATAATAAATTTTTTTTAATTACTTTTCCAAATCCACGTATGCAAAAAAAAGTATTTTATTCCACGTCAGCGTTTTTAGTGGGCCATGGCAAGACAAGTCAACGGCTGATCATTCTTATTTAAACCAGCCAAGCTACTAGCTAAACTTCATAAACAACCATGGCTTCCAACAAGATCATCTTCTTCCTTTTTCCCTCTCTCTTCCTCCTGCAGGCTGTTTCTGCCGTTGAGTACACCGTCACCAACGACGCGATCGGAACTCTGGGCGGTATCCGCTTCGACAACGAAATCGGAGTGGATTACAGCCAGCAGATATTGGCAGCTGCCACTGATTTTATTTGGAACATTTTCCGACAAAGCTCCGATGCTGATCGGAAGAATGTGCAAAAGGTCAGCCTGTTTATTGATAAAAACTATGACGGAGTGGCGTTTGCTAACAACGACGAAATTCATGTCGGTGCTGACTATATTGCTAACTATGACGGGGACTTAAAAGAAGGAAATAACAGGTATTAATATATTTTAATTTTATGTCAAATAAATTTGTTCATTAATTTAAAAAATTTTCTTTCAAAATGTAAAATTAAACCTTTAAACTTTTTAAATATTGAGTGTTTTGAGAATTTATTAAATATAAAATATAAATTTAAGGATTTTGACAAAAATATCCCTATTTTAGATTTTGGCTAATTTTTAAAATTTTTTATAATAATTTTAAATTAAAAAAATAAAAATATTATAGGTTAGTTTTAGATAAAATTAATTAATATTTTATTTAAAAATACACTTATTCTAAAGTCTAAAAAATATCCATTATCTTTAAAATAAAAATTAAACTTTTAAAGATAATTTATGAAAATAGATTTAAAAAGTACTCATAAATTTAAAAAAAAACATTAATATATGTAAACTTTTTAGAAAAAAGTTTAAATTATTTTTACTATTAATATATTTAAAATTGAAGAAAAAATAATCTATGAAATGTTTACGACCATTTATGAGATGCATAGATAATTTTCATCACGGTAAAAATTAAATATTTTAAATAAATATCTAAGATGGTAAATATTACTTTTGAGAGTTTGATGTATATTTTGATTTTTTAATTTAAAAAATAACGTGTATTAATGAAACTTTTTAAAAATATTTATAAAAGAAAATAATAACTGTTTCCATCCCAAATTATTATTAATAATAATAAATAAATAAATAAATAAACAAACAAATAAATAAATTTATTTATTTGTTTGAGAACAGGAGTGCTATACCACGAAATGACCCATATTTGGCAATGGAACGGGAACCCAAGTGCACCGGGCGGGCTGATCGAAGGGATCGCGGACTACGTACGGCTGAAGTCGGGGTATATTCCGGGGCACTGGGTGGGGCCGGGCGGCGGGAGTAGGTGGGACCAAGGCTACGACGTGACGGCCAGGTTTTTGGACTATTTAGAGGGGCTGAGAAGTGGGTTCGTTGCAGAGCTGAACCGGAGGCTCAAAAATGGCTACTCCGCCGATTACTTCCTGCAGTTGCTCGGAAAGCCGGTGGATCGGCTCTGGGCAGATTACAAGGCCGCGTTCGGAAATTAGAACTTTTTTTTTTTAATTAATTAATCAATTATTGCTTATTAACATATTCCATATTATGTATGCAACACTTTTATAATAAAATAATTCAGAAGGCTAATTTGGCAAATTTATAATTAATTTAATATTATATCACATGACCCCACGAATATATGTACATTAATCTGGACCAACTCAGCTGAAATGATAGGGATTAGGTTGTATTAATTTTGATGAACCCTAGTTGATGCGGTTCGATTTCGAGTTCATAGAATAAAAACTTCGAGTTGACCCGAACTCAACAAAAATTTATACATATATTAAGAAGTTAAGCGTATTCCGGTGTCTGGTAGAGTGATAATGTGGCTTTACTATAACTATTTGTACTGGATTTGACTCTACATTTTTCAATATTTTTAGAGTAATTAATTGTAAAAAATGCCGATATTTATTTGTTCTTGATTTTATGACAATGTTAAATTATGTTAGGATGTTACAATTTCTCGACGGTTATTATTGATGTTTTTTTAAAAATGATTATAAATTAATTTGTCTTAGAATGTTACAATTTTCGCGGGTTGTTATTGATGATTTTTTAAAAATGATTATATATTAATTTGTGTTTGTAAACTTTTAATATTTTTATTTGAGATTGTATCAAATAACTGTGAATTTTGCATAAATAATTTTTTTTTTAAAATTAATTTTTTGTAATAACCCTACCACTCAACTTGTGGGTCGGTTAAAAAAATCTTCAATCCAACCTAACTCAACTCGATCATGTGTACGCTAATAAATATTAAAAATGATTTTTCAAAAAAAAAAAAAAATTCCAATTATCTTGTTTGCATTTCCACGTGTCATATAAATATCGACGTTCAATTTGCCGCCTCATTTTAAACGCTACTCTTACGTTTCCTTCCGCGGCACTCTTTGCTTCCACAGGAGCGATGAATTCTGGTTCGTCTCGCTCGGCTAATTCCTCCGCCCAGAGATCCAAGCGAATTCTCGACAATTCTTCTCCGTCGAGCCCTTCCAGTAGCGGTGCCAACAAGAAGAAACGGATCGACCAGAAAACCCTAGGCGTCGCATGGGGAGCCAATTCCAGTTCATCCTCTCGCTCCTCTCGCAAATCGCCCTTTCCAGATTTCGGAAGGTTTTTTTTTTTTTTTTCCTCTC